TTTTTTTTTTTCCAGCTATCGCTTTCAAAACGGATGACGCGCGGCACACGTACATGACGTCTGTTTTTCTATGTCTACAGATGTGAAGACACGGAATTAGGCCAAAGTCGGAGTGCGCAATCGAGGATGAGGGTCCACGATGAGAGAGCAGTGTGGGGGGTAATTGTGAGCAGGCCCAAAGGAGAGTAGACGAGACCTGTAATCAGACTGAGTTTGGCGCCCTCGGGAAGAAGAAATAGCTTAGGAACGAGTTTGTTAGGTTCTTGATACAGTTTTAAAACAAAACACCTCTAAATCTGATTGGCTAGTTGAGTAATGGAGCTTGCCGAAAATAACAGCAAATACGTGTTTAGCGGAGAGTCTCGAGAATTTTGCCATGTTGGGAAAGTCTGCATGCTTATTTGAATTCTTAGCCACAGTTTCACTATCATTGTACTTTTTCTGCCACGCAGCGAATTGGAAGAAAATGGAAGAAAAAATAGGTGCAAAATTGTATGACAGATCACTTTTTCTGCTCAAAGCCAACAGGTTCCTTCGACATTTTGCCCCAGTTGTCTCAACTGACGTTGTATAACTCTCCGGTTTCTGTTTATTGGAGAACTCACCACAGTTTCTAAAGCATGAAAGGGAATGTCGCGAATAGTATGGTATAAATTCAATAAATTACATTAATTTCGCAATCTATGATTAAGACGTCGGTACATACGGTTCTTCGGGTCATATTTTTTGATATATGTATTTCTTTTTACTATTCTAGCCTTTTGTTTGCTGACCAATTTATTGAAATTGGAGAGAGAATTTTAATATTGACTAGACACTTTGATGAATAAGAAGATTAAGACTAATAATCACAGTTTTTCCCGGTGCGTTTGATCACTGTTATTGAAAGTGGGAATTAGAAATTATTAACTCACTCTGAAAAACATTTTCAGTGGTTGTTAGCCGTTGCTCACTTTGTGGTTATATTGTTCCATGAAAAACTGTATCTTCCCTTACGACCTATCTTTAGCTTGGCCCATTTAAAGAAATTTTGGTTTACAGCTGTTTGAGAATGACAAATAAAAGTCGCGGTAATCTCGTCCTTGTAGTTTGATATATTTCACAACGCAACTCAGTGAAAATTTGTTTTAGGATCGTTCTATCTCATGGAAATACAATACTTAAGAAAAATTCCAAACAAGAACAATTTTCTCTCTCGAGATACAGGAGAAAATATAAATATATATATCTTTTCAGTTTTGTTTCCAGCTGTTTTTTTTTAAATGATCAATGCTTAATTCAGTCCCAAATATCGCCTTGATCCAAGAACAATGGTTCCGTGCAAGACTGATCGAACTTTTTAAATTAAAACGTTATACGATATGATTATTTTTTCAGAAAAAGATTAAAACTTGGACGTACTTATAAGGTGACCCGAGCTTCTTTCCATAAGTTTTCCACTCAGGCGGAGCAAGATCATAACTTTACTCCTCGACGAAAAGAACTGAGATCAAAGTTCTCGAAATGAATCGATCCATTTCAAACAATGGCTATTTATTACCAGTCGCCCCGGGCACAGCCGTCGCTAGTGTCACGATGCTATCGATCGCCAGTTTGGTCGGTTTCTTGGCAAACGCGCGCGTTTGCCTTCTGATTAGAAAGCATTCAGATTTACGCAAGGTTCCACACTATTTGTTCAGCAGTCTTGCTGTGAATGGAATTTTCAATTCTCTGCTGAATTTGCCTTCTCGTTTAGCCTTGACAGTGATTCGTCTCTTGGATATTCCGGTGTCTGTTGATCCTGCTTGTTCTGTTCTTGTGCCAAGCGGATTTGCCTGTAACATACTCAATGCTGTGACCTTGTCGTTAATGGCGATCGATCGACAGGATTGCGTTTTACGTCCATTCAAGCGACGCATGGACAGAAACAATATCCCCAAAGTCATAGTTCTTTCATGGATTGGAGCTCTGGTTTTAACCTCTCCCATAATCTTCAAATCAGCTCGCCAACGATTCCACGGATGTGACGTTATTCCGAGGATGAAAAAAGCTAGAGATCCTATTTTAGTGTACGTCACTATTTTATCGAACTTCTTCAACATTGTTTCGGTGCTGATCATTGTTGTCACAGCACTACGCATTATAAAAAGGCTGCGTTCGTCACCCCTGCCAAAATCAAACAGCCATAACAGGCGCCAAGAAAACCAACTAATATGGTTAACTTATAAGATCTGTGGTGTTTTTCTAGTTTGCAAGTTACCCATTTTTGTTTATTTTCCCTTAGCGGTATTTCTTGGAAACTCCGTCCCCATACTGCCAAATGTTCTGGCCATAGTGTTGTTAATATCTAATTTTTCCTATGTAGTTAATCCATTCCTTTTTCAGAATATGTTGAGGCCTCTGCAAGCTATTCCAAGAGCAGCCAGTAACGAGTGACCGAGAGTGAACCATTAAGAAAATATCTAAATGAATACCGCTAAAGTCTTAAGACGAAATCCGATAGGAAATCGAGCAATTACAGTTTTAGTGGAAAAAAATCTTGTATCAAAATAATTGTAAGTGCATTACTGTCTTTTTTGTATTTTTTAAAAACTTAAGATATATACAATCGCCTGAAATAACACCAAACACAGTTTCCCAGGAGAACTCGAGAAAATAAGTTTCACAGCACAGAGAAATTGTGCAAACCGGCAGGTAAAATTCATTTCACCAGTACTTTAAAGTGTTTCACATGAATTTCCAAATTTGTTTTCGACATTTGGTGTTGATAAAAATGAATTTTTTTGCTAAATATAGTTGAAACAGTCGCACAGAATTTTGTAATACAGTGTAAATAAACTCGGTACAAAGCTCTTGTCCACTTGTTACTCCAACTTACGGTGCATTCATTCTTAATTTAATACACAGTTCTTTGGACTATTTTTAATATTGCATTTTTTTTATCGTACTGTTAGTAACTTATTTTTGTTGACCAGTTTATTGCAATTGGAGAGAAAATTTGAATATTAACTGATCGCTTAGAAGAACAGCAGGATGAAGACTTTGTCACGTTATTTTTTGCCGGCGTGTTTGATCGGTGTTATTACAAGTACCAATATGTTACTATTTATTTCTTCACTCTCAGCAACATTTACAGTCGTTGTTAGCCGTTTCTTTCTGTGTAGCTACATTATTCCATGGAGAACTGTATCTTCTCTTACGTCTTCCGTTTTTTTCGTGACATGATTTTAGCTTGTCCGCTGTAAAGAGCTTTTTGGCTGTTTGAGAACAAGAAAGATAAGTTGAGATAATTTCGTCATGTTATATATTTCTTAACAGAACTAAAATGTCGTTTTAGCAAGAATAGATAAGCGGAAAATTATATCCAAATAAGAGCACCTTTCTGTCTAGAGTTACAGGAGAAAATATGCATATAAATTTTTTGTTTACCTTTTTTTTCTTTTTTATTGATCGAAATGATTCCAAATATTGCCGACAAAGAATCGCCTTGATCCATGGACAATGATTCCGTGCACGGTTTATCGAACTTTTTAAATTAAAAATCAATCCTCTGAGCTTTTTTTGAGAATACGAATAAAACAAGTCCTTAGGGCGAAATGTGCTTCTTTCCAGGGCAGACTAATAAATATCCCCTTAAGCGGTTTCTTATTTAGGCGAAGTGAGATCGTAAATTTCAGTCCTCGACGAAAGGTACTGACTCAGCGTCTTTCGTCGAGGTCTGAAATTTCGAACGGAGCGATCCACTTCAAACAGTGGCTATTCATTACCAGTCCCCCCTAGCACAGCGGTAGTATCACGGTGTTATCGATCGCCAGTTTGGTCGGCTTTTTTGCAAACGCGCACGTTTGCGTTTTACTGAGAAAGCGTTCAGATTTACGCAAGGTTCCACACTATTTGTTCGGCAGTCTTGCTGTGAATGGAATTTTCAATTCTCTGCTGAATTGGCCTCGTTTAGCCTTGACAGTGATTCGTCTCTTGGATATTCCGGTGTCTGCTGAACCTGCTTGTTCTGTTCTTGTGCCAAGCGGATTTGCCTGTAACATACTCAATGCTGTGACCATGTAATTAATGACGATCGACCGGCGGGATTGCGTTTTACTTCCATTCAAGCGATGCATGGGCAGAAACAATATCCCGAAAGTCATAGCTCTCTCATGGATTGGAACTCTGGTTTTAACCTCTTCCATAATCTTCAAATCAGTTCGCCAATAGTTCGAAGACGTGACGTTATTTCGAAGATCAAAGGAGCTGGAGATCCCATTTTCGTTTACGTCGGTATTCTATCGAACTCCTTTAACCGTGGATAGCGTTTGTGCTGATAATTGTCGTCACAGCACTACGCATTATAAAAAGGCTGCGTTCGTCAACCTGCCAGAATCAAAACTCTATCACGGGCGCCAAGAAAACAAACTAACATGGTGGACTAATAAGATCTGTGGTGTTTTTCTAGTTTTCAAGTTGCCTATTTTTGTTTATTTCCCCGTCGCGATATTTCTTGAAACAAAACGACTACACACTGGTTAACATTTAAGCCATAGCGTTGACGATGTTAAATTTTCACTATGTCGTAAATCCCTTTCCTTATTATAACATGCTGACGCCAGCGGACAGACGAGCGAGAGACATTGAAATAAACTAGTGAGAAAATGCTCAAGAAATTGTGAAAAAATGTCGAAGTCTATGACAGCGACTAAGAGAGCATGAGGAGTAAGTAAGCCTTATTCCCAAGATAATCCTTCTCTAGTTATTTTTGGACAAAGTACCTAGTTTTCCCTTGGTCAATGTTAGCCCTCTTCGAATGAGCGTTTTCATGGAGGTCTACAGACGCAATTAAAGACGCTTGGACTATCCACATATGAGTACTATTCGGGAGTGATTTAAAAAAAATCGATAGGAATTACCGGGACGAACGGGGCTTCTACTGCAAGTACTGCAGGGAAATGGTAGGAAATTTTCCTAGCATTCCTTACATACTCTCACTAGGGTTCTTCGTCTTGCGGCCAGGGAAGACATCATAATCTGTTTCAGTGACATGTCGATGATATTAAATAAAAAATAAACCAGAAAGGGCCGATGGCATATGAGACAAGCTTTAAAATGAAGTCACGATATTAATAGTGCTTTAAAGTAAATAGTGCGTTCGAGTCATTCGCGATGCTTTTAAATGATGGCGGACTCCACCGACGCCAATAATCTGAAACAAAACAAGGTCATTATATATCGGTTCACGTCTAAACACACGTGAAGACTTGGGCAGGAAAAAAACGTGAGCGGACAAAACCGGGGAATGCCGATAAATCAAGTAATCCCGCAATGATGAACGAATTACACAACACTCCTTCCTCTGCTTCTCCTCTTGAACCAAGTTCACATCTACGAACTGAGCTTAAAGATACCAAAGTGCCTACGAATGGATGTTGAGCGCGGCGAACAGGCCCAAATGTCTTGTTTACCCAATGAAAGCCATCAAAATAAACGCTGAGCTTGCATCGAGATGCTTGTCGAGGCGTAAAGGAGTGTTTGATTAATCAATCTAAAACAGATCTTAAGGAATAAAAAACCCAGATCATCTGGAATACTTGTCTGAGTATGTCGCTGGCAGTGGGAGCCACGTGCAGTATTATCATGCTCGGCAATTGAAGTTATTGTGTAGAAAATATCGCAC